CAACTGCCGCAAGCTCACCGCCATGAAGCACGTGGGAGGCATGTTTGACGGAAAGGACACCTTCGGCGCAGAAAGAGATGCACGCCTACGAGCTGCTAATTCTGGATGGAGTCAGTATCATCACTTCTGGTTCAGTCGTGCTCCGAGACGACTAAAAAGATTGGTTTTTCAGGCAGTGGTCTACGAGGCAGCGATCAGTGGCGCCGAGACTTACTACTTGCACACGACCGACTACAAAAAACTGGACACTACCCTGGGCAAGAAACTTCGTGCTATGCTGAAGGGCAAAGGCTGTATCCGCACCCAGGACCGCTACAAGTCGATATCGGCAGCTGAGGTCTGGCGACGATGGGAGATTGCACCGAGTTCGATCGAGCTGAAAGTGCGACGTCTTAAACTTCTTCAGGGCGCCGCAGCACACCCCGACGACTCCAAACAGATGGTCTCGGTCCTGTTCGGTGAACTCCAGATTGAGCATCACCTACGTGAACTCGAATTGCCCGTGGCACCACGCACGTTAGACGATGGCGGCTACATCAACCCCGACGCGCACCTCATCGCTCGACAGTTTTCCACGGATATACAGGACATGCTGGTCCTGGACATCGCCGAGCCTCTGGAATACCTGGACTGGCGAGGCAACATGGTGGAGTTGTTTACAGAGCCCGGCGTAGCAGAAGCTTTCTGTGGCGTCGACGTGAGCATGATGAGGGCAGCTTACCTTCGGCGCGCCTTTGCGCCTCCTGGAGCTCTTGCAGAGCTCCCCTCAGAAGTGGCCCCGTCTGACGAGGCCGAACTGTTCATCTGCACGCTGAAAACGTCCGAGGGTATCGCATGCATGTCCAAGTGGATGAGCGCACGAGCACTATATGCACACCAGCGGGGACTCGCACCAGGGGGAGAACATGGCATGTGCTGCTTATTATCACAGCTCACGATCACGAACGAGTGTATCATATGCGGTACTACATTCCCTACACGTGTGGGAGCACAACATCATATCACAGCTGCATGGAAATCACACATATGTCGCACGGATCAGACATGGGCACCATATCCTATCACGTCCCCGAAGACACTAACATGCCCAGTATGCTACCAGTCCTTCGAAGATAACAGCACGATGCGCGCGCATCTCCGTAGCCATCTACCTCAGGGAGCACTGGGGACTCATACGCTCTCACTGCCACAGCCTACGCCAACGCCTACACCAGCACCGCAGCCAGACATCGACGATGGCACCAGGCACGGCGAGCGTCCCGACACCAGCTCGAGCGGGTTGGCGTGCCCCCATGGAGTCCTCAGCAGCGTCTGGGAATGGTGGAGCGCGCGGAAGGCCAGAACGCTCACGGAGCCAGCCACGCAAGGGTCAGGACGGAGCAATGGACGAGGACCCGAAGTTCGACCCCAGGAAGGTGACCCTCGCTCGAGTTCGGCGCCGCCGAGGAGCAGGCTTCAAGTCGAAGCAGGCGCCGACGATGTCCCAGGAGATGAAAGACCTGCTTCTCATCACCCTCCGTGCGACGTACCAGAACACGAAGCAGGTTCGCGAGCTCAAGGGCTGCATCGTCACGACAGTGAAAGTGGAAGACAAGGATACCTTGGTCGAGGCCATCGAGTTGGAGAACCGCAACTACGCACGCATGATCCGCCAAGAAGGCGACAATCACGGAAAGGGCCCCCCTGCCCCAGGCGCAGCTATGGCGATGATCGAGACTCTCGCCAGCCAGGACATCGGTGCGAAGTGCAAGGAGGAGCTCACTACGGCGCTCCAGCAGATCAGCGAGCTCGATGCGTTCCAGGCCCAGGACATGTTCCCGATCTGCAGGGTCGAGAAAGCGTACAAGAGCGGCTCGGCGAAGGTCATGTTCACTTGCCGCGGCCCCAGCATCCGCCAGACGATCATGGCCGCTCTCAACAATGCGAACAAGCCAGCCTGTCTCGGACCAGCCCCAGCGGGCTTCGTGGAGGACGAGCTGGCTCTCTACATGGATGCGTTGATGAACGACGAGGCGTGAGGACTACCAGTATGACAAACGACCCTGATCTGGAAATTCACGGCTACTCAATACGGCGCCTCAAAGCGACTTCCACCCATGAAGAAGTGCTCCCCCGACTGCCGTTTGTGAATGCCTCTTCCGACGCTATGGTTCGATTTGCTCTCAGTGGGAATTCCCAAGCTGGTGCATGCAGTGGCTTGGACACTAGGATTGCACGACCGCCGACCTGTACACCACCACCTCCCACGGCACAGAGTGCAGCTACTTCGACTTCTGAGGCTGACGCCACCCGCTCCAGCTCCGTACCTCCTGCTCGAGATAGGCTCGAGAGGAAAAGGCCAGCTGTTTTAGATGATCGGGGTCCCAGGTCTCAGACTCCCGCGAGTAGACCCCCTACTCCTGCGCCCGCTCGTACTTCCTCTGCTCGTGCCCCCATGCCGCCCTCTCACCCCTCTCGCCCCCCCCAGAAGCGCGCACCAACCTACTCACCGCTAGGGGGGGGGGCGAAGCCGAGGGCCCCAGGGGAAAGCTCGGGGTCGGGGTCGCCACCCTCGGTGAGCTGGTCTGTGTGTGCGCCGCTTCCGTGCCGCACTGCTCACAGTCATGAGCTGCGCGGTGCCTAAATGAGACGCCAAAGTGGCGAGCACCGTCTAGGGTCTCAGCGTATTTCAACTAATACCTGATGTTTGGACCTTTGGACATTTTGGTGAGTGAGTGAGTGATATATATATATATATATATATACGTATGCAAGTGGCACGTGTGTGCCAAGGCCCATACAAAAAATGAAAGGTCGCTTTGGAGCAGGAAGACACCATGACGGTGGGATCGGATATGGATAAGGGGAAGCTGGCGCGGATGGACTGGCGGAATGAGCGAAGCGATTAATGAGAGAAGTTCAAGCACGATTCCCACCGGCCGATATGTATCACTAGGTGTGGACGGAAAGAGAAGGACGAGAAGAGGAGGAGGAGGAGGAGGAGGAGGATAGCTGCTGGGAGTGAAGTGCAATGGCGGGGTCGCACTCGAGCGCAAGCGGGGTTGCCACACCTTGCGATGTGTGTACCACAGGCCCCCAGGAAGCCTCAGGAGGCCCGACCTGGATGGCATGTTCCGTGCGATCGTTTTTGAGGCAGTCATCCTCGACGCCGGCCAGTCGGGCATCCAGTAGAGCGTAGTTGGCGCAAGTTTCGAGTGTCTCTGGGTGAACCCTCTTTGGTCAGCCCTCGAGTTGAACCCCAGTGTAGAGCATGAGCAGATGTGAGAATCCCTGAATGACTCACTCAACAGGCTCCACTTTGCGCTCCCCGGCTGGCAGATCCAGCAAGGCCCCGTTGCACCCGTTTTTGTTGTTGGAGGCCTCGAGGCTCGGGTCCGCAGAAGGTTGCGTCAAGTACTCATGGCCGCTCAGTTCAGTGGGTAGGGCGCGTCGCTCTCGCGTTGCTTGAGTATGGTTTCTAAACTCGCTGATGACTCGCAGGGGCGGTAACGGGCTGACGTCAGATGTGTCGGATGCGAGTTTTGCGAACGCGTGCCGCGGATGGGTCTTTCTGTCAGCGGCGTGGTTTCATTTTCCGCCGAGTGTGTGAAATATAGGTTCAGGCAAGCGTGATCCTTTTAAGTCATCCGATACAGCAGGGTGGGAGCAGTCTCGCGCCCGAAAAGGAGTCAGCCACCGCTCTGGTCCAGTCTTTGCAGTTCTAGTTGCAGGCGGTCTTCAGGAATTCCCAGAACTCCAGCCCTCCTATGATCATTAAGGGAGAAAGCAGCGTGCACGTGTATTAATAAGATGTTGAGTTCGACTCGGGCGGGTGGGGCGCTCTGCAAATGTTTATCCTCAAGCACTTTTCGGGGCCCCCACCCGCCCAACCCTGGGCCTGGTTTTCAGTGGCGTGCGTTTCTTGTCCGCCGATTGTTGGGAGCGGTCTCGCGTCCGAAAAAAAGTCAGCCACCGTTTTGGTCCAGTCTTCGAAGTTCTAGTTCCAGACAATTTTGGGGAATTCCCATAATTCCAGCCTTAGTATGATCATTGCGTATGTATGTATGTATGTATGTATGTATGTATGTATGTATTATGTAGAATGTGCGATGCTTATGTATGTAGATATATATGCTTGTACGTATGTAGTATGTATGTATGGATGCAGTTGGGGATCAGCGTGCGGGGGCGGCGGGGACGTCGGCAGCTTGCGAGGCTTTGAAGAAGCCCCCCGCAGGCGCAATATCTTTCAAGCTACACAATGAGCCCGCCGCAGGCGCCGATTCCTTGTTAAAACAATGTCGCGGATCGGATCGCAGGTGGGTTGCAGGTGGGTCGACGGTGGGTCGGGGGTGGGTCGCGGGCAGGGTCGCGGGTGGGTCGCGGGCCGGGTCGCGGGTGGGTCGCGAGCGGGTCGCGGGGTGGGTCGCGGGTGGGTCGCTGTTGGGTCGCGGGGTGGGTCGCGGGTGGGTCGTTGTTGGGTCGCGGGTGGGTCGCGGGCCGGGTCGCGGTGGGGACGACGACAACAACAACAAGCAAAATCCTCATCACGGATCCGCACTTCAGCCACACACCCAGGGACAATGAATGACCGTTCGGCTCCTAGACTCTGATGCATGTGTATATATATATATATATATATGGGTATAGATATACATATATATATATATGTGTATGTATGCATGTATGTGTGTATGCATGTATGTATGCATGTATGTAGGTGTGCGTATGTATGCATATATGTATATATGTGTGTCTGTGTGGATGGATGGATGGATGGATGGATGGATGAATGGATGGATGGATGGATGGACGCATGGACGCATGGATGTATGGATGGATGTGAACAACTATATATATATATTGACGAATACACACCAATGCTGGACGATCCCCACCTCATATATTCGCAGCAGAGGAACACGTACAGAACATACCCAGTCGTTGTGATTCGTTGTGCGGCCAGAGTCGTTTCGAAGCGTGGCTTGTGTTGCCAGTTGAAGGCTTGGGGGGAGCACGAGGTGTTGAGCCGATCCGCGCAGCTGCACCTCCAGAGGCCCCTGCGCCTCCGAGACCAGCTGGGGGAAGGAGAAGGTGAGAGGAGGAGCAGGACGGGGAGTAGATCAATGACAGGAGGGAGGAGGTGGGCGAGGCGGGCGAGGGAGGTGGAGAGATGGAAGCAGAGATGCCTTTGAGAAGGGAGAGAGAGAGAGAGAGAGAGAGAGAGCGCGCAAGTGAGAGGAAAACCAAACAAACAAAGCGCAATATGCCCCCATGTGCTGCATGATAACTGCAGCCATATGCTGGGGCAGAGCTACGGGGACGCAGAGCCAAACGGACGCACCGACTGTCGGATGGTCTGACGGGCGGACACAGACAGGCGGACGGCGGCAGAGAGGCAGACAGAGCAGGAATCTGTAGACGAGAAGGGAGAGGTCGAGGGAGATAATGAAGAACAGCAGAACAGGTGGAGGGAGGGTAGGAGGAGGAGATTGTAGACCGAACGCCGCCCCAGAATTGCCGACCCAGTTCTCTAAAGGAGACAGGTACGGCCACGTTCTTCTTGGATTCCCGTGTCAGAGCGAAGAGAAACCAAAAAACATGCGCGATACCTTGATACCAGAGTAGTCTGGCAACGTGCTCCAAGCGGAGTGTTCAGTGTAGCGTAAGGCGGGGGGGTCGTTGTGGCTATTGGACCAGTCGTGCTTAATCAGGGAGTTCATGCAAAAGTTTGCATTCGGATCATCTGCTGTTTCATAATTTGGTGAGTCTCACAAGATGAATATCATTGGCACGGTGAACGCAAGGCGTTCTTTCATACGACCTCGGCAAATTGATCAAAGGTCCCTTGCACAGTTCACATGTCTTCTGGTCGTCCTTGAATTTTTCTGCTATCGTGAACCTGATGTGGTCATGCGACGCCCCGCATGGATAGTTGCGACTGGCTCGAAACGCGGAAGTTGGAGCCGCGGCGGCACTCGCAAGACGTCCGAGGAGTGCCACGTGTATTCCCACCCCGACGTTGAGCCATACGAAACCGCAGTAAGGTGTTCGGTTCGTAGGCATAGCGAAAGCGAGAAACATCGACTAGCGAAGGACCACACATTCAATTCCAAGTGTAGGCCATAGCACTGTAAGCGAAGACATCGCCAAATGGACCAACATACAAATAGTACCATACAGCCCGAAGTTGAGGATGAGAGTGAGGGGGCGCGCGGGCTGCCCGCCGGCCTGCCCGCCGTGGCCGAGCGAACACTGGCAGACGCGCAGCCAAAAGCTTTCTCGAGCGCCCTGAACAGCAGAGGAGTGAGCTGCCCACGTCCTCGTCGACCCCCTCCTCGTCCTCCTCCTCCTCCTCCTCCTCTTCCCCCTCCTTTTCCTCGTCGTCCCCTTCCTCCTTCTCCTCTTCCTTGTTCTCTTCCTCCTCCTCCTCCTCCTCCTCCTCCTTCTCCTCTTGCTTATCATCAGCGTCATCAGCATAATCAGCATCATCATCATCATCATCAGCATCAGCATCATCATCATCGCCAGCGTCATCATCGTCATCTTCGTCGTCGTCCTCATCATCATCCTTGTCCTGCTCCTCCTCTTCCTACTCTTCCTACTCCGCCTACTTCGCCTCCTCCTCCTCTTTCTCCTCCTCCTCCTCCTCCTCCTCCTCCTCCTCCCCCGTTGCCATTTTCGCTCAAGGGGCCTGCTCCTGAACTTCCCAACCTCGCTCTAGTCTGGCAGGCAGCGCTGCCAGCTTCAGCAATCCAACGATTCAGTCTCTCGGGCGGGCCGCGGCGTCCGCTACCATTGTCCTCGCCTCGCGCAGCCTTGGCGCAGCTTTCAGGCCACGGCTCCTCCAAAGAGCTACCGTCAATGTGTTTGCTGCTCGCGTCAGGGATGCAAGGGATGGTCCTACATGGACCGCAACAACAAGTTCTGCTCCCAGTGTGGCACCATCTTCCCCAAGCCAGGTCAGCCTACGTCAGATCCTCCTCAAAGGCCCGCGAAGCAGCAGTCTGGAGAGGTGGTAAGTCTGCCGGGGAGCGCTCAGGATCAGGAGGAGGTCGAGGCAACCGCTGGCCGCGTTTCAAAGTCAATGGCCAGGATGAGTTCATTCAGGCCGCCTCCCCAAAGCAGGCCGAAGTCGAGGACCCCGTCGCTATGCATCAGGATCTCGTCAGTGTTTGGAAGGTTCGTGAAGGCACGGGGGGGGAGAATTATGCCACAGCCGTTGTTTCTCTCAAGCAGGCGAAGTCATCGGCTCTCCAACGCAAGCCCTTGGAGCAACAGTGTCAGTCTCTCCGCGATCAGGTCTCCGCCGCCCAAGGCGAAGTCCAGAAGTACACCGAGCAGGTCGAGCACTACATCGAGGGAATCACCGTCTTGGCCAGCATGGTCGAGGCGGCGGAAGCGCACAAGGCCGCCGCCAACGCCGGGCTCGAGCAGCTGGAGGGCCAGCTGGCAGTCGCAGTTCGCGCAGTGGCTCGGCAGCAGGCGCCCCCCCCGGCCTCGCCCTTCTTCTTGCAAGTCTCGAGATTCATGGGAGAGCCCCAGAACGGTCCAGTCGCAGGAGTTCCTCCCCATATCCAGGTGCAGATTCAGGCCCTGGAAACATGTTTCGAGATGGCGGACCAGCATCAGCCGCCGCAGCAACAGCAGCAGCAGCAGCAGCAGCCTCAGCAGGAGACTGGCCCAGCAGGTGATGGCGCGGGCAAGCCGCCCATCCCAGGACAACTTATCCCTGTTCCTGTTGAGGGTCCGCCCGCCGCAGCCCCAGCCCCAGCAGCCTCCTCGGGTACCCCGGAACGGAAGCCTCCTCAGAGCCCCAGCAGGCACAGAGTATGGATCAGAACCAGATTCAGAAGCGGGGCCAGACAGACAGCGCAGCAGCCTTCGAGAGAGCCAGCCAAGTTGCCAGTCAAGCAGGGGGCAAAGGGAACCAAGCAGCGAAGAAGCTCAAGCAAGCAGCCGAAGCAGGTCCGCGGAAAGATCCGTCTCGGCCTTAGCTATAGTAAGCAGATCGTCACGTTGAACGGCAGCTGTTGGGAGGCTGTCAAAAGCTTCGCATCGTCGTCTCCGAGAATTCCGCTGCGATGTGCTGTCAGGAGACTCGCATCTCAGGGGTCGCATCATTGATGCCAAGCAGCGGCGCCCTAAAGCAGGGTGGCACGCCGTTATCTCACGAAGATCCAAAGTGATTCTAACTGTCCGATGTCTGGCACGGCCATCCTTGTCCGCGCTGGTCTAGACGTGGGTTTTCGACCCGCGGCCCCCCCTCCTGTCAGCCACCCCGGCAGGATTGCAGAAGTAAGTTTCGAGCCCCCAGGGCACTCGGCCTCGATATTGCCCCCCTCCTACCTCGAGGAACCAGGAGGCCCCATCCAGTGCAATCTCTAGTTGCCGGCAGCCATCGGGAGGATGCAGAGCCACCGCAGCACGCCAGTCTCTGCCGCAGTTGATTTGAACGCGCCGCCTTCAGCCATCAAGAGGACCAGCCTGATGGAGCGAGGAGGTTTTCAGTTGATCCACTCGCCTGGGCCCACTTATTTCGCCAGGGAAAGTTGTTCGAAGCTGGATGACTTCGTCGCCGGCGGAGTCTCGGGGGAATCTGCGAGCAGCGCCGAGGTTTTGACCAACTACCCGCTCTCGCCTCACAGGCCCGTCGTCGCTCAGTTCACGATGGGCCAGGATCATCTCACCCCCGGGTTGGCCAAGCCCCAGCAGATCCCCGCCGGGCGCCCCCATGGACCCTCCAAGGAGCCCCACGAGTGGAACCGCGCAGCCGCAGCAGCACAGCAGCTTCAGCAGACTATTTCAGAACCAGCAGTAGCAGAGCATCTGAATATACAAGCCTCAATCGCAGCCTTTGCCGCGCTCGCCCTGGACCTCGAAGCCTCGCTCACCCAGCAAACAAACACCCCGCTCAGAAGTCGGGGGCGGCACTTCCAGCCGCCCAGGGTCGCTCGGAATTCAGCCAGAACAGCAGAGTCGAAGCATCGCGCAGGTTGGCAGTCATACACGAGGCCGCTACGGCGTCTCAGCAACAGGGTGATTGATGCGCAGCGTGCCTTACGCAGTGGAGTGTCCTCATCCTTGCGAGATGCACAGTCCGACTTGCAGGATGCACCGCGGGAGTTTCAGACAACGCAGGAGCTGGAGGCCCTGCTCGCCAAGCGTCGCCGCTTTCTGGACGCCCTCTTGCTGGACGCCAGGCGCGACGGCATCGAGGCATCTCGCCAGCGCGCCTCCCAGATCTTCTCGGAGTTGCAGGGGGGGCAACCGCCCTCCACGATCAGGGGCGCTCTCGGGGAAAACTCCAAGCCTCGGCCTCATGGAAACAGTGGGCCACGGAACAGATGGCCCAAGGAGTGGGCGGGCCCATCCGCGGCCCAAGGACAACACCACCTGGCAGCCCCAGGAGGTCATGGCCACAGACGGCCGCTGGCGCGGCAGGCCCAGCAAGCTCCTGGAGGGCGAAGTTGACAGACTGTCGGGGCCCTGGAGCGCCCAAGATCCCCCCCCCCCCCCCCCCCCCCCAGAACCCCAGGGAGCCCTGAAGCGGCGCCCAGGCTGCCAAGTATCACGCCCGCCATTTTCAGGAAAGCCACAAGGACATTCAGTCATCAAACTTGTCAAACTTGGGGCGGAGTTCCCGGGCATTTCGAGCTGCTGACAGACGAGCAGCTGCAGATCTTGATTGACTTACTGTCGCGCATCGAGCAGCTCGGCACGATGCCCTCCCACATTCTGGCCACCATTACGAATCTCATTCCCGAGCTGAAGGCCGCTGGCGGGCCAGCTTGCGGGGGGCATCGGTCTTCTTCCGGGGGCATGCCGCGCCGGGGCAAAGTTGGCAATCTGAGAACAGAAGGTGGGAACGAGACAACCCGCGCAGCTTCCTGGCGCACCAGTCAGACCGCAGTATTCTAGAGCTCGTTTTTTCAGCAATCCCTTCTTGCAGAGCAAGGTTGCCGAGCAGATGAGAAACTACATACGGCGTCAGTATTATGGGATATGTCTAACTATTACGAGCACACCAGCAGAGAGGAGCTTCAGCAGCGAGCC